TAACGAGTCCCCGAGTCTATCCTGCCGACAACGCCAAATGTAACGAGTCTCTGGCTACCCTGCCGACAACGCCAAATGTGACCTTCCCGAGTCTAACCACTCATTCCACACAACATTGACCACAGCATAGATACTCGAAGATGCAGGTTCATTATTGATCCTTTTATTACATGAATCAAAGAATGCTTCACAATAATATAATGAATCAAGAGAGATGTTTCACAATAATAGTCTGAATCAACGGACCCCCAACAGTCCTCACTAGGCTTCATATAACTGAATACACATGTCTATTGTCCTTCTTAACACAATACGGCTAACCCGTTCAATAACCAACTTGATACTGCCACACAGACTGACTGATCGAGCGAGAGCGAGAGAGAGACTCTGCGACTCTGCCGTCGCCTTCCTTATTTATCCCCTTCATAATCGTACTCATATTCGGTCCTATCATACTCGTAATCGTAATCGTTGCATTACGCCGCTTCTGTTGTACAGTCCGATTTAATAAGCCATCTGCATCCTGTCACATCAAAGTTGACAGACCGTTCTTTCGTATCGCTTCCCGAGATATTACGCCTTGGCTTTCTGATCGTTATCAGCCACCACCTGTGTTATTGCATCAGTCGTGTCAAAGTTGACAGCGCTGTACCGCGTTCTTATGTCTGGTAACTTCCCCTAGTTACATAAAGTTTGAAAGAAAATATTTCAAAAGTCGTCTATTTGGAAATGATAAAAGACTTATCCCATCAGAAGGATAATAAACAGTGTTTACATAATCCTCGTTGAAAAAAAAAATATGCGAGAAATAGAGAAAACCGTGGCTTTAAAAAAAAATTACTTCTAGACTAAATAGGACAAAATGTGCCAACTACTAGAGTGCTTTAATATAAAAATAAAATAAGTGCTGAATATTTCAAATTTGGCTATAGTTTAACGAAATACATATATACGCGTTCAATACCTAATTGTTTTTTTTCTCAATATCAAGCAAATGTATGGAAATATTGGCAGTGTACCCCCCCCCCTCCACCCAAAAAAAAAAAAAAAAAAAAACATCCGAAATTCCGAAGGCAATATCGAACGAGGGCGAAAAATATTTTCCCCGGAACAGATGATAAAAATTTTCAATCATCGTAAGTGAGAAAAAAGCGAGGGCGATTGTAAGTCATAAACCCCGGACAAAGATGGTCGGGATGGCGGATTTATTACACGTACCAACAGTAAGCAGACGCGGGGAAAGCGAGTGGGCAGTCCTGGCGCGGCCGCGCCGGCTATAACTCTGGAAACCGTTTGCCGGATCCGTCGGGGGAAAACTCTGTAAAGTGTCGGGGAATCGTCGGGAAAACACAGTAAACAATCTCCAGACTACACAGTATGGTAGCTTTAAAAAAAATATTATTCGTAATTTTTTTATTTGGACTTGTCTCGTATTGATCTAGCTAGACGTAACAAGGAGAGGTGGTATTTGGTTTTTTTTTTTAAGTCTTGTATTAATTTTGAACACTCGTTCTTTGGGTGTGGGAGGGGGGTTGGGGGTGAGTTGATAATGTGTGAGCGTGTTATGTTGGCGAAAGTTGGAATATTTCAAGCTTACGATCAAACTCAAGACTGACCAGAGGCGGAGGGGACAACATGGATGAAGTGGACATTAGTGGACAAGCAGACTATTAGGTGAGTGGGTCGGTGAGCGGTCTAGGGGAGCGAATGGATGGCCCGAGCAGCAGACGTATATATTAAATGGAGGGGTGGGGGGAATGACAGGGATGGGGTGGGGGATGAAACAATTTGAAGATAGAGGGAGACAGGCATGTTTATTATCACAGACAGCAGAAGCGACTCCATAAGAGGCGAGATCGTCATAGCGGTTAAATGGGACAAGGAGAATGCCGCACGAGTATAGGTTGAGAGGAGGGGGTGGGGGAGAGGGGGAGGGAGGTTATATTATTCACAGGAAAATATGGTTATTAACTCTGAGCCGCCTACCTCTTGTAGAACTATGGGGTCGTGTAACTTCTCTTTTCTCTTGCCGTGGATACTGATTAACTGTGTGTATGTGCCCCTCACCCCCTCTATAGAAGCATGTGAGTCTAGAAACACTTTTACGCCTTTTAAAGAAGATACCAGTAGACACGCCAAGATACATTATGAACGATTCTTAATCTGCCCAATGGATCGCTAGGTCTAAAGAGGATTCTTTAAACTGCTGAAAGTGTGCGTGTTCGAAACCCAAATGGAATGTGACTTTAGTCAACTCACAACTAAAGCAGCCCCCCCTTACTCACTGACCTGCTGTTAAGTAACGCACACAAGATGAATCGGTCTACCGACGGCTTAGGGTAAGGGTTAGGGTTTAATGTGTTTGTGGACTGCCGCGGTGACCGGACGAGACAGGAGATTTACCGAGGTGATTGATTGGCGATCGATACATCTGATCGATTTACGAAAAAAAAAGAAGTAACGAAACAAGAGGATAAAAAGTAACTAAAGAAGTTGCTTTAGGGGGCGGGGGAAGAGGGGGAAGCTGTTTGAACGTGGAGCGGACCAGGCACATCTTATATGGGGGTTTTCGTGACTAGTATGTATGTATGTATGTATGTATGTATGTATGTATGTATGTATGTATGTATGTATGTATGTATGTATGTATGTATGTATGTATGTATGTATGTATGTATGTTTGTGTAGATAGATAGTTAGATAGATAGATAGGTGTGTGTGTGTGTTCAGGTCAGTTTCTATAGAGGTAACAAGCGAAGTTTTGTTTCCATAGACCTGATTAGACCTTAACAAAAATATCACGATTTCTTTCACCAACTATATACCGAAGAAAGTTTTATTGCAATAATATTAATGGTCGTAGTCGTAGTGTCCTTTTCAAACGCAACCTCCTATACACGAATAATTTGAAATCGATAATAATTACAATTTTACTATTTCATTTCGTATGGGCATTTTTTTTAAATATGTATAAATTGTCCTATTATGTTATTACTTCAGAGTGTTCAATGGTCCATTCCTTCATTTATTCTCCACCCCCCCCCCTTTTATTTAGTGCAGTTTTATTAGGTAATACCCAATCTTTCGTAGACCTTTGTCATAAATCTGTTTATCGCTAGTTGCGTCGCTTTCTTGCAGTGTATTGATTTTATTGAAGCCAATTAGAGGCACGAGTGGTTTGGAGGAGGGGGGGGGGGGGCGAGGGCTGTATTTGGTTGGAGAAAGAGGGAGAGAGGTCCATGATCATCTATGATTAATACCCGGGGTAATTTTTTTTTAGTCTAGGGCTACTGTTATTAACTGGTTAGATTTCTCGTCAGGCTAATGGTTATCTGACCACTCGCCCATGCCCGTGTTTAGCCGCGCCTGTCCCCGGGTGTGTCCATTCCATCTATCTACTTAATCTGACCATTTAATAAATAGGTCTGGCGCTCTCCCTTTCTCCCTTCAGTGTATAAGCGCGGCCTTCTCTCGTTCCAATTAATAGATAGTTACGTCGTTCTCTCTCCACTTGTGTAATAGTTTCTAGCAGTCTTCCTCTTTTTATTTAGTCTCTATTGAAGAGAGAGAGAGAGAGAGAGAGAGAGGGGGGGGGCACGACCAAGAAATGGCTAAAACCGAATTCTATCCTTACACGGGATTGTGTTATCCTACTGAATATAACATTGTGACTTGGGTTCGAACTTGAAACTGATTGTAGGGAATTACTTTAAACAAATAATTAAAAAAAAACTTTTAAGTGTTTAATTCGACTTTTAAAATCCCGCGAATCCGACATTCTTCAAAAGTCCCCCCCCCCCCGCCGTTATAACAAACACAGCAAAGTCTTGAAAAATTTTGACGTATTTTACCTAAACCTAAACTTTGTAAAGCTAACGCTTTTACGGTTACAACGTTAAAGCGTTTTAATCGCTCTCTCTCATTATTTCTTTTCTCCTAACCACAAACTACTAAAGATTTTGGAATTATGTAGATAAAATCACATATTTAAAAAAATGAATAAAAAAAGAAACGGCATATTATCTCAAGAACCAGCACTCCAGTGATATAACATTCCCTCCCCTTATTTTTTGAGAGCACAGATGGCCACATAAAAAACAAAACAACTCGTGTCCAAGGTTATCATCAATAGCGAGAGCATATTGAGGGTCCAGAACTCCCGAGGTTGAAAATGGGGGGCCGATACTTGATGCAACGTCTAATCAATACGTCCCAGTCGATAGCCCGTATCGTCTCTTCCTAGCAACTACCCCAAATTTCTCAGTGCTACTGTTTAAGTACTTGTACACACAGCGTTGCCGAAATCGCCGTTAGTAGAGGGGAGGTAATCGATGGACCGGAAGCAAAGGGAGGAAAAAAAAAGGGAACCGGAAAGGGTTGGAGAGTATACATGGGGGAAAATGAAAGCGTGCACTGCAGTGGAAGTAGGTTATGAAGCATAAAATGATAAGGGGACATTTTAGAAAAAAAGGAGAAAATTCGGGCGAGATTAATTCGTGCAAAAAAAGTGCTTTACGTTAAATTAAGTTTTGCAGGGTGGGTAGTGTTGATAGATGCGAACTAGAATTGGATTTCGGGAAAGTTAAGGGAAGCTTGTTAAATACATGGGACGGCGTGGTCGGGTGGTAGAGCGCTCGGATGTTAACGCGAAAGTCTGGAGTTCGGATCTAGGTCCGCAAGATGTCCCTGCGTTGGTCCAGTTGTGTCGGGTACTTGACTCACGTTAGGGAAAAGTAAAACCAGCGATGACCACGCCATCCTTTCAAATGCCGTGGTAAAAAAAATACAAACTCTACATCATCTGGTCTATGTATTGTAAGGTCAGAAGGGGGAACTTTAATTTTGTAAATGTACGTTCAACAACTTAAGATGGTACATTTTGTTTTTAATCAGAGGGTTAGTATCAAAAGCAAAGCAATGAAAAAAGCTTAACTAGATCTTAATGAAGATGTGATAAGAGTGGATCTAGAAAGGTTATAAAACACAACGTGAGTACTCACCACACGAAATGGTATTCCATCACCACGCTGTATCGTCTTGGGGGAGGGCGTGAAGACGCTGGCGTGTGACCCCGTCGTCGTGTCGGCTGAGCCGACGACGTCGTCCTCTAAAGAGAAACTGACCTCCTTTTTCTTCTTCTTCTCGCCCGGGACCTCCAGGGTCGCCCGCACCTCTTCAGGTTCAAGGTCATGCGGCCCGATAGACACCTGGCTGACCCATTTGGCCGCGTTGTAAAGTTTGCTGTCGTTGTTGATGACGTGAGGGCTGGGCGGTTGGGGGTTCCGTTTTTTGTCTCCGCGGCGGAGGAGACAGATGACGGCGATGATGACGATGGCGAGGATGATGGTGGCGGCGACGATGATGATGACGATGATGGTGTTGGTTTTGGAGGTGTCCGAGTTAAAAGCCCTCATGGCTTCTTCACTACCGGGCTCGACGACGATGGATATGGTGACGAGCGAGGACTGTGACGTAGGCGTCGGGCCGTCTCGTACGACGATATCCATTTTATGCGTGTCGACGTCTTCCGGTCGGATCTGCCTGGCCACTCGGAGGTTTCCGGTGTAGGTGTCGATGGCGAAGAGAGGGCTCTTCTGTTTGGGAGGGAGAATCTCGTTCAGCTCGTACGAGATGTCCACCATGCGAGGGTCATCCTCGTCGATGGAGACAAAAGTCGTGATGACCGTCCCGATGGTCGTGTTGAACTGGCAGTGAAATGTCCGGTTGGTCGCCGGCGGTTGGATGACCACAGGCGCGTGGTCGTTGTCGTCTTCGATGGTCACCGTGACGTTGGCGATGTCGAAGTAGTTGGCGAGTTCCGGGTCGGAAACTTTGACCCGGAAATTGTACTGGCTTTTGGTTTCGCGGTCGAATGTCGCGGCGGATTTGAGAAGGCCGGTGTCCGGATCTATGGTGAAAAATTTTCCGTCCCTTTCGGTGGGGTTTAGTATGGAGAAGGCGAATCTGCCGTTATCTTTGGAATCGTCATCAAAGGCAGGTACGTCCCCCGCTGGCGATCCTACAGGTAAGTTTTCCACAATTGTGTTGAAGAAGGCCGGACGTCGGAATTTGGGCGGATTGTCGTTGGCATCCAGAACTTTAATCGTCACCGTGGCGGATGTTTTCTGCACGGGTTCGCCGTGATCGGATGCGGTGACCTCTATCCGGTACTCGGCCTTGAGCTCGCGGTCCAGCGATTCGGTCGTCGTGATGACCCCGGTCACCTCGTTGATGGTGAAGAGGTTCAGATCGTCTTCGCCGCCCGTCAAGGCATAGGTGACCCTGGCGTTTTCGCCCTCGTCGAGATCCTCGGCCATCACCCGCACGACCGACGTCCCGGGGTTTTTGTTCTCCATGACCGAGCCCAACAGCGAGCTGGGCGTGAATTTGGGGGCGTTGTCGTTGACGTCTTGAACCGGAAGTACCAACGTGGTCGAGGTGGTACGCGGCCGGACGTCTCCGTCTTGACACGTGATCACAACATTTCGAACCGCCTGTTCTTCGCGGTCAAGGACGTTGATCAGCTTCAACTGGTACACGTCGGTGCTCACGGGGTCAAGGCTGAAGTTGGGGTCGTTGACCGCGCAGCTGACCTTCCCGAAGTTCCCGCTGTCGCGGTCGCTGACCCTGACCATGCCGATGAAGACGTTGACGGACTTGTCCTCCACGATGCTGACGCTGCCCGGGCTGTTGATGGTGATGACTGGGTCGTTATCGTTGACGTCAAGCACGTTGATGGTCACGTAGGCGAAGCTGGATTTCTGGGGACTCCCGTTATCGTTGACCCGCACCGGAAACCGGTACACGGACTTCAGCTCGTAGTCCAGGTTCAGCCGGGTGAAGATTTTACCCGTGTCCGGGTCGACCATGAACATGTTGGCCACTTCCGCTGACGCTTCTGCGCTCAGCCCGTACGTCAGCTTTGCGTTAATCCCCTCGTCTTTATCCGACGCGGAAACAATTATGACCGGATTAGTGATGTCCGAATTCTCCAAGACATTCGCCTCGTATTTCGCCTGTCCGAATTCCGGCGCGTTGTCGTTGAGGTCGGTGACCTGGATTGTTATCAGCATGGTGCCGTTGAGCTGGGGGCTTCCGTTATCCGTGGCCACGACCTTGAGCGTGTACGATGACGTGACCTCCCGGTCTAACGATTTCTTGACCGTGATGACCAGATCCTCAAGGCCGTCCCTGGTCTTAGAGGTGCTCACCTCGAACAGGCTGCTCACCGGCGGGTCAAGCCTGTACGCGATTTTCGAATTCGGGCCCTCGGAATCGTCATCGGTGGCCACGCTGGTCAGCAGGCTAAAATTCTCGTCGTTGTTTTCCGGGATGGGGAGGGTGACCGTCCGACTGGGGAATTTCGGGTTGTTGTCGTTGATGTCAAGGACGTTGATGTCCTCAATGAAGATGTACAACGGCTGGTTTTGCTGAATGAACGCCGCCACCTTAAAATTGATCTGGCACTCGATTTTCTTCTGACAGAGCCCCTCTCGGTCGATCCGCTGACTCGTGGTGATGACGCCAGTTCTGTTGTCGATGTTGAAAAGTTTCACGTACTGGTTTCCGAGTTCGATCGGGGCAAAGCTCAGGTTCGGGACCTGGCTGAGCCGGTAGCTTAAATTCCCGATGAATGTCCCGACATCGACTTCCTCGTATAAGTCGTACTTGTCATTCTTCAACTCTTGCGCATGCGCCGGGTTGTGTAACACGATCAGTAAACAAACAGTTTTGATGTAAACTGTTAGCACCGAGGTCCCCATTTTTGAGAACCCTCGAATGAATTTATATGGTCTGCTGTTAGAAAACCATGAAAAATAAACTATAACCTATTAAACTATTTTGTCTTGACTAAATACAATGTTCATCACTCGCGTTAATATTCGCCCTCGGAGCAAACTTTCACGAGAATCTCTGTAATGTTTTTTTTTACAATGATTGAAGAGTTGCGCCTGTAGGTTGGTTTAGTTTAACGCCCAGAACACCTTGAGTTTCACCTGGAGAAGATAAGACAAAAATACAATCAAAATTCTAGCAACCGTTAAATTTTATTAAATTCTTAAAAAAACTAAATTATAAATTAAAAAACTGAACAATGTAGGGTTATAAGAATACATTTAAAATCACATTTCTTTTCCGTTATAAGGGGCCAGGAAGTTATTGCGCTATAGCAATAATTGCTCTTGTAAATTAGTAATTTATCATATGAAAGAGTTAACGTATGTCTTGGTTTTAAGACCAATATTAGACAATGGTTAAATAAATACGACATCCCGTATTTGACAAGAACGTTAATAAATTTATTTTAAAAAAATATCGCGGAAGTTAAATTAGTGTTAAATTAACCTGCATAGCCATCACGACTGATATCAAAATACTCGGACTATTTACCTCGAGGCCGCATCGAGGGGCCATCACTCGCGTTCAGCTCTGAGTAGCTCTCGTGAGCGTCCAAGGATTTAAAACCGACAGGAAGTTACGTCCTCATCAACTGCCTCGAGATAGCGTACGCTTTTGTGTGCTTCTTGCAACGCACCGCTAAACCCATCAGGCGTTATCCCCCGTTCTAATCAAATTTTCTTAAATAATTAGCTCAAACGCAATTAGCCAAACAAATTGGGATGAAAATTTTGTGCGTTTTGAATACCACGAAGTTCATGTTTAAAACAGCATGTTCCAAACTTAATTTCTCGAAGAAATGCTACAAAAATACCACCCCATTATGCAATTATCAATAATTCTTAACCATTAATAGCTAATTACGATTAGGCGAAAAACAAAATTAGTCATTAATTGCAACACAATTGCCCAATAACTTTCATGTTGGGAAATAAATCGAATTAGTAAATGAATAATATCACATTTTTGAACCTACTTAGAATACACATTTTTAAAATGGGGATGAAACAGGAAAGGGGGTGGGGGGGGGGGGGGGGGGGGGAGAAAGGGAGGGGGCTGACCCAGAGGGAAAGGGGCACTTGAAAGGATGAAACAAAAATTAATATTTTATAGGGGCAACAAATGGGTCCTCTGCTACTCGACATTACACGAGAGTCTACGAAAATACCAGACAGTCGAGTTTTCCACCACCCCCTCTTCTCCCACCCTCCCCCTCCCCTACTCCAAGCCTTCGAACTGCTTTTAATTTTCAATTAATAAAATATACGGCTTCATCGCGAGCCTCAATTCACAGACTAAATACTATTTGGAGAATAGTTTTTTTTTTAAAATTTTATGTTTAAACATAAGAAAAAAGTAAAAACAAAATAAATTTAAGGCCCAGACTGCGCGTTGGAACTGCCGGCTTCCGGCTCCATGGACATTGTTAAGACCGGCTGGTAAGGGCTGAGAGCCGGATGTAAAAGCGTGTTCGAGACGACGGCCTACAGGGAAGGTGAAGTAGAATGTATGTGTCTGTAGCTTACGAAGGGGTTTTGTATAAAGCAATAAACGAAACCAACTCATTTTGATGATAGTCCACACACGAACTTCGGGTAAAAGTGTCATTTAAAAAACGTAACACTTATAAGTAAATTAAAAATGAAACACTTTTAAGTAAATTAAAAGTTAAATTAACCAAAAGTGATTCCAAACTCTAAGTAAACATGGAACAGACGATAATTATTGAATGCAATGACAACCACTGATAGGTTGCAGAAGACGACTCCGAGAGCTCTTTGACGCAATTAAATATAAATAATCCCCACAATTTATATATCATAGGCCTAAACCATAAATATGCGGCAACATATGTAACCACAAACATCAACATACAAACAAACAAATATACAACATAAAAGCTACAATAAGCTGAACAAAACTACCCTGATCAATAGTGTGACTAGTGACCGTTAGGTAAGTTTTTCCCTCTAATAAGATATTTATGGATTTGGTTGAAGTGTTTTATTATTGGGCGGACTTACATCGCGAGAGGCGAGAGTTTTGTCTGGAAATGTGTGGGTGGGTGTGTGTGGGGGGGTATGTCTGGAAATGTGTGTGTGGGTGTGTGTAGGGGGGGATGTCTGGAAATGTGTGTGTGGGTGTGTGTGTGGGGGGGTATGTCTGGAAATGTGTGTGTGGGTGTGTGTAAGGGGGGTGTCTGGAAATGTGTGTGTGGGTGTGTGTGTGTGGGTGTGTGTAGGGGGGATGTCTGGAAATGTGTGTGTGGGTGTGTGTGTGGGGGGGTATGTCTGGAAATGTGTGTGTGGGTGTGTGTAGGAAGGTGTCTGGAAATGTGTGTGGGTGTGGGTGTGTGTAAGGGTGTGTGTGTCTGGAAATGTGTGTGTCTGGAAATGTGTGTGTGGGTGTGTGTGTGGGGTATGTCTGGAAATGTGTGTGTGGGTGTGTGTGTGTGGGGGGGTATGTCTGGAAATGTGTGTGTGGGTGTGTGTAGGAAGGTGTCTGGAAATGTGTGTGTGGGTGTGTGTAGGGGGGATGTCTGGAAATGTGTGTGTGGGTGTGTGTGTGTGGGGGGGTATGTCTGGAAATGTGTGTGTGGGTGTGTGTAGGAAGGTGTCTGGAAATGTGTGTGTGGGTGTGTGTAGGGGGATGTCTGGAAATGTGTGTGGGTGTGGGTGTGTGTAAGGGTGTGTGTGTCTGGAAATGTGTGTGTCTGGAAATGTGTGTGTGGGTGTGTGTGTGGGGTATGTCTGGAAATGTGTGTGGGTGTGGGTGTGTGTAAGGGTGTGTGTGTCTGGAAATGTGTGTGTCTGGAAATGTGTGTGTGGGTGTGTGTGTGGGGTATGTCTGGAAATGTGTGTGTGGGTGTGTGTGTGTGGGGGGGTATGTCTGGAAATGTGTGTGTGGGTGTGTGTAGGAAGGTGTCTGGAAATGTGTGTGTGGGTGTGTGTAGGGGGGATGTCTGGAAATGTGTGTGTGGGTGTGTGTGTGTGGGGGGGTATGTCTGGAAATGTGTGTGTGGGTGTGTGTAGGAAGGTGTCTGGAAATGTGTGTGTGGGTGTGTGTAGGGGGTATGTCTGGAAATGTGTGTGTGGGTGTGTGTGTGTGGGGGGGTATGTCTGGAAATGTGTGTGTGTGGGTGTGTAAGTGGGGTGTCTGGAAATGTGTGTGTGGGTGTGTGTGTGTGTGTGGTTTGTCTGGAAATGTGGGTGTGGGTGTGTGGGGGGTTTGTCTGGAAATATGTGTGTGGGTGTGTGTGTGGGGGGTTGTCTGGAAATGTGTGTGTGGGTGTGTGTAAGGGGTGTGTGTCTGGAAATGTGTGTGTGGGTGTGTGTGTGTCTGTGTGTGTGGGTGTGTGTAGGGGGGTGTCTGGAAATGTGTGTGTGGGTGTGTGTAGGGTGGGGGGTATGTCTGGAAATATGTGTGTGGGTGTGTGTAGGGGGGTATGTCTGGAAATGTGTGTGTGTGTGTGTGTAAGGGGGGTGTCTGGAAATGTGTGTGTTTGGGTGTGTGTAGGGGGGTATGTCTGGAAATGTGTGTGTGTGTGTGTGTAAGGGGGGTGTCTGGAAATGTGTGTGTGGGTGTGTGTGTGTCTGTGTGTGTGGGTGTGTGTAGGGGGGTGTCTGGAAATGTGTGTGTGGGTGTGTGTAGGGTGGGGGGTATGTCTGGAAATATGTGTGTGGGTGTGTGTAGGGGGGTATGTCTGGAAATGTGTGTGTGTGTGTGTGTAAGGGGGGTGTCTGGAAATGTGTGTGTGTGGGTGTGTGTAGGGGGGTATGTCTGGAAATGTGTGTGTGTGTGTGTGTAAGGGGGGTGTCTGGAAATGTGTGTGTGGGTGTGTGTGTGTCTGTGTGTGTGGGTGTGTGTAGGGGGGTGTCTGGAAATGTGTGTGTGGGTGTGTGTAGGGTGGGGGGTATGTCTGGAAATATGTGTGTGGGTGTGTGTAGGGGGGTATGTCTGGAAATGTGTGTGTGTGTGTGTGTAAGGGGGGTGTCTGGAAATGTGTGTGTGTGTGTGTGTAAGGGGGGTGTCTGGAAATGTGTGTGTGGGGGTGTGTGTGTGTGGTTTGTCTCTAAATGTGTGTGGGTGTGTGTGGGGTTTGTCTGGAAATGTGTGTGTGTGGGTGTGTGTAGGGGGTTTGTCTGGAAATGTGTGTGTGGGTGTGTGTAGGGGGTATGTCTAGAAATGAGGTTTTTTGTTAACAATGTTTAAATCAGTTGTAATGTTTTTAATTGAAATTTAAAACAAAAGACAAGATTAAAACTTAAAAAAAATATATTTGTGAACAAATAAACCCTCGTTTTAATCTCGGGGAGGATTGTGAAATAACAAATCTATCATCACGATTTTGTTGAGAGAGTATTTCTTTGTTTGATAATTAGCGAAGCACTTTTATATTTTTCCATACAATTTTAATGTGCTGATTAAACAAAACTGTTAGTAAGCTAGAGACTAACGAAAAGAAAAAAAATCGTTTACTTAATAGTGTAGCTAATTTAATTAAAACAGCACTTTTCTCGAAATTTTGTTTTTTACACTGAATTAAATTTCTGAATTGCTTGGCAATGGTGTATAGACCAATTGTGTGGGAAAAGTTTACCACTATTTTACTCAAATCCCCTATGTCAATATAACACAATCAATTTTAACTTTATTAGGCTAAATCCCAATCACCCCCCCCCCCCCCCCAATTCTATCTATGTTCCAAGTACATAACAAGTTGTCTAGTAATAGATCTAGTAACGGGCACGATAACAGTATAAACAAACAACAACGCCAAGACTGCCGATTAATGACGTAGTCGGAGACCCCTTCAAAGAACAACTCAACTGCACCAAAAACAGTGACGACATAAACCACGTGATACGATACGCCGTGCCGTATTCTGCCTTCCGGTGCTAAAATCGCCCGCAGCAGTTAAACGCAGACCAGAAGGGAAATGGCCGCGCGTGTACCCACGGTCAGTTATGATGGTAATCATCCGCCGGGCAATTAGTCCGGGCAGTAACGGCCGGCACACGTAAAAATGTCCGACCGGTAAATGTCTGAATTCACGAAAAAAATTTGCTCACACACCGCGTGGATTGGTTGCGAGGGT